GCATGTTCAATATTTAATTTTGCTAATTAATTGTTTTGTTTATGCTGTTTACAGTGTTCGCATATTTCAACTAAAATCATTTGCATTTGTATTGGTAAGCGGGTAGTTGTCGCCTGTATTACGTTGCTGTTGTTGTTGCTGCTGCTGCTGCTGTGTGAATCAGCAGCTCGGCTTTGGCTATGACAGGGCCGGAATGACTGTGTGACGTTGCGTCTAGAATATATCAACCCGGATTTGTTTGCGCGGCTTTAATTGCCAGACTTTTGAAACAAACGCTGGCACTTAATTATTTCCCAGCAATAACTAAGTAAAGGAGGAAGAAGAGAGAGAAAGAGAGAGGGAGCGAGGCAGCGAGAGAGTGTGTGTAATAAAAACAATATAAAAATCCCCACAAAAAAGGAAATCAAATTTAGTTTTTTCATCATTTTTTTTTTTTTTCACAAATTATCTGTTTGAGTAAATTGAATTACCGTATAATATTAAATGCGTGCGGATAGCGAATGTTGTCATAAACATTTTTGTCGGCTCTGGAAATTTAAGATTTGCCTGATTCTGCCCAAATCGCATCGGCACAAAAATCAATTAGCTGCCGGTCTTAAAAACTTAGCAATAAATGCTGCGCCCACAGAGAACGTTAAGTCCCAAACTAAAACTGAAACTAAAACAAAAAAAACTAAACTGGAAAAACAAGAGAGACACTAGAATTTAAATTAACACGTCAGAAAGACTTTCCGCCCAAGACGCTCAAGAAGAGGAAGAAGAGGAACTCGAAGAAGCAGCTCTGCTCTGCTTTTGTGGCTCTGCTCCACACTGATCTGCTCTGCTCTGCTCTGCTCTGCTGAGCATGCACGCCCGCACTGAAAGCCAACGCAGCCAAGACACACACGAGCCCAGGCTCACTCTCTCGCTCTCACTCTCTGTCGGGCTGGCGCTCTCTCAGCAGCGCTGCCAACGAAAGTGAGCAAAAGCTGCGCTGCCTTGGCTGCTGCTGCTGCTGCTGCTGCTGTTGTCTTCTGCTTTTATCCACTTGTTCGCATCTTCGGAACTGCGTCGACGTCAACGTCTCCGTCGTCGTCGTCGTCGTCTTCGTCCGCTATTGTGTTTGTTGTTCTGCTGAGCGGCGTTTGGGTGCTGCCTAACTGTGAGGCTGCGCGACGAACAGCACCGCCGACGCCGACGCCGACGCTGGCAAACGTTTGCTGGGCCGCATATAAAAACGACAAACTTGGTAAAAAATATTCACAATCATATTGAAGTATTGAAGCTGCACGTTTCGTGCGTCCAAGTTGTGCGAGTGTAAATCATATCAAATTATATACAACCAAAAGCCAGCTATGTAAGACGACAACAAATATATATATATATATATCTATATCTATGTGTATATTCACAAGTGCAAAGACAATGAACTTTAAGCTAAAGACTTTATGTTCGAATCTGTGTGAAACAAGTGTGAGCAACAAGTGCCAGGCAACAAGGATATTAATTGTTAATTTAAGGATCAGAGCGGCGACTGTAAAAAGCTTCGAAATGTGCCATATAAGGCGAATGCAAATTAACTGTAAATTGTGCCGTGACGTTATTTTGTTGTGGTTGAAAATTAAATTCATTTGCGGTTGATTGATTGATGGATGGTTTGATTGATTCAAATGCTGCCGCTGCCGCTGCCACTGCTGCTGCTGCTGTGCCATAGATGCCCTAGCCTAGCTGCAGCTCTGTCTCTGGCTGTCTGGCTGTCCGCATTGTCTGTGCATTGTGTTTAACTCAGTTGAAATTTATTTGCCTGAGATGCGATCTGAACTTTGCGCCGCTGCAGCGGCTGTTGCAAAATTGCACAGACAGGAGGAGAGCGAGAGAGAGAGAGAGCGAGAGCGAGCGAGCGAGCGAGCGAGACAAGGCAAACATTTGCAGTTTTAATTTATGTGAAAATCACTCACAGCCTGGCAGCAGCTGTAGCTTGAGAGCTCGACAAACGGAAGCCTCGCTTTCCAGCAGCATTGGCCAGCATTAGCATATGTCCAGCTGAAGTCATTCGAGCCACTGACCATTAGAACACAAACCAACGAGTGTGAATTAATGGGCTGGCTGCATCTGATTCTAGATCTTAATTAATCAGCATTAGCGCGCCATTCTATTCTATTTTGGCCAGCGCTCAGTTTGTTGGCCAAGTCTTTTGTACGGCCCGTTCGAAAAGTGTGTCAACTTCCCTCGAGGCCGTCAAATTCCCAGAACTAAGCCAGCAATTAAAGCTAAAGCATCAATCAGCGACATCAGAGAAAGAGCAAACAATATATAAATATATATATAGATTTTTTAGCTTTTTTATTATTTTGCCAACTTAATTCTTAGAGAAAGTATTAGAAACTCGCAAAAAAAAAAAACACACACACACACAAATTGTGTTTCTATTCCCTAATGAGCGCTGCCAACAAATCGAAAATCGCATAACATATTTTATGCAAATTAGCTAACGAAATTCGTTTGTGGTAAAACCAACAATTTGTGTTTTTGTTTTTGATTTGTATTTTAGTTTTTGTTGTTTCCCTCCGTTTTTTTCCCTATGTATATTCAACTGCTTAATTTGACGATAGTCAAACGCCTGTCCTATTGAGTTTATTTATAGCACTGAGTCAGCTCGGCACGCATTTGGCTTAGATCGCACACAGAACTCTTTGGAATACTTGTTGGATCTGTTTTTTTTTTTTTTTTCTAATTTTTGTGCGGCGTTTGTTTATCTTAGTGAATGCAAATTTCTTGTCAGCTTTTTGGCTTGTTCATTTTCATTTTCTATTGTCGCCAGCGATTTATGGGCCACGAAATATTTGGCTAGCTGAGTCAGCTACAGGCAAATCAGGATTTTTTTCTATATAGCATAAACTGGTCTCGCATTCCGTGTGACATCCTGACAAGTGCCTAAACAACAGCGTATGCAAATGAATTAACTTCAACTTTGTCAATTTAGACACTAACTTGTCAGCTGCCATCAATTATGAAATTGCCGCCAAGCCATGAGCCACCCGGAGCCACTCGCAGCCAGTAGCCAATTGGGGGAAGAGAATCAAGCGACGCCTCTTTGCGTAATCCAAGCGGTCAGACGGCTTAGCAGCGCTTTAATGAATTGACAGACACAGCGGACGGACAGATGCGGATGGACACATCCAACAGATACATCAGCCAGTCGCTGCTTTTGTAATTTATCTGACTTAGAATCTTTGACAAATTGCACAGCAGCCGCACGCAGAGGGGGGGCCAACAACAATATGTTGTAGATAAACATACATATATATATATATATTTGTATATGTATATATATTTAGGCATAGCTTTTGCAAGTCTCTTCGGAAGTCTGTTTCGGCCAAAACAAGTTGAGCGCTAGACACTGAAATTCCTTTCGCGCCAACAACTTGTAGACAACTCGCTGCCCAAAAGGCTAACACAGTGGACACCAAAGTAGAATCCACTTCGTCCGACTATCCGTCCGTCCGTCCATCCGTTCGTCTGTCAGCAGCAAGTGCCATTTGCCGTGTTAACCATGTTGTTGCAGTTGCTGCCGTTGCTGTTGTCATGGAGCCGGCTCATTGCAATATCCATAGCTGGCTATCCGTGGCACAGCGTGTAGGCTGGCTGACTTGCCTGGCTGGCTGACTTGCCTGGCTGGCTGGCTGCAGCTTTTAAGGCCTACTCTCATCAGCATCATCTTTGGGGGCATCCGGCGCGTGCACTTTTATGGCATTTTGCACGTTCCTGTTGCGAAATTATGTCATCACGATATTTTTTTTGCATTTCATTGATGACGACAACAAAGCCAGCAACAACAACAAAGTGTGTTTTTATAGCCGGCCGGCCACACGCGCTTAGTCAGCGACTTCTAATTGTTAAACGTCGTCGGCTGCTTTAGTTATCTAATTTTAGACACCGCTCGAAAAGTGTAAATTAAGCCGGATTATCTGATATAACTTGACTTTAGCCCAAGTAGCTATACATGTGTGTGATTCTAATCAGATTTTGACTAGTTTTACAAATGTGAATATCAGCCAGGTTTAATGAGAACTTTCGAATGGCAGGAACTAAAACCATTTTTAGCAGCAGCTATTATGGGACTCGTTAAGCAGAAGATTTCAAGCCAAGAAGTTGTTGTATTCAATCAAAATCGATCAACTCTGAGATAAGAAATTGATTTAAATGAAAATAGTTTGCATAGATATCATAAATATCAGAAGCTGACGAAAAAACATTTCAATAAAACTAGATATTCAAAATTATGTTAATAATAAAATGGGTCTTTTACTTTTTTTTTATTATTAACATAATGGAATACAAATTATTTGTAGTTTTTACTAGTTTTTTATTATTATTAATTTAAAAAAAAATTATTTATATTTATTTATAATTAATTATATATTATATCAATTAAATATTCACTTCATAAAAAACTGTTCTGCATAATATATTAATCTGGAATAAAATTAATTTTTGAGTGAACTAAAAACTCGGAACTCGAAACTTAAAAAAAAGTAGACATAAATATTTATGAAAAATTATAGTTAAATATATATGAATGAGAAAAATTTTTGTTTGCAGATGGAATTAACAAATACATATACAACAATTTTAAAATACACACAAATAAATTCACATAAAAATAATAAAAAAGAAAAACAAGCAAAAACTATTTTTAAAATATTTTTGAATGAATAATTCAATGAAAATAATTTAATATATACAAATATGCTGAAAACAAAAATATTTATTTGTATAAATTTAATTTGAAAATTTAAATGGATTTAAAAAATATATATAGTTTTTGAATAAATATTTTGAGATTTTTAAATAAATGTATAGGCATATAAAAATAATAATAATTTAAGAAAATTATATTTAATATCAAAATATTTTTTAATATTTTATAATATTTATTTTTTTAATATTATTCATAATTATTTATTAAATAGTCGAACACAAGTATAATCTGAGTTTCTCTTCCACTTGCAGCCTCCACTTGGTATATCAATCAATCGATCACCATGTTCCGGTTTCAAAGCACGATGGCTTTGGTCCTGCCACTGCTGCTGGTGGCCATGCAAGGCGGCGTCCATGCCAGCTACCAGGGCAACATGTTCCTGAATGGCCAATACCAGAACCAGATCAAGCAGCAACCCGAAACGCACTTCTCAGTGAATCCCTCGACGAATGTCTTTCTGCATCATGCTGTGATCAGCCGGCAGGCATCGCCCTTCCAGGCACCCACATACCTGCCGCCACCGGAGCTGCTCAAGTGCTACAATGGCCAGCAGTGCGTGCGCAAGGATCAGTGCCAGAATGGCTACTACAGCCAGCAGCTGCCCAAGATTCAGGTAAGTCCAAGTGCAGCAATCGGGAAATCGGGCAGCCAGTGAGAGAGAGCGCGAGTCCTGCTCGGCTAGCAATTGCATAATGGGTGCGGATAAACCCGACATACGTGAAATATACGAGTAAATGTGGCAGGCGGCGCTTGACAAGCGAACAAAAGGCCAACAGCCAAATTAAAAGCCTGTCTACGTTCGGGATAATGTCCAGCAACAACAACAACAAAAGTCAAGAGCAAAAACAAAAACAAAAATATGGCAATGCGCTTGATTAGCTCGATCTGATCTGCATTTTTATTATTGTTGGCACAGTTACCGTTATTTTCCGGTTTGTTGTTACACCAGAAAATATGTAAAAAACAACGAAAAACCAAAAACAAAAATAAATAACACATTCAACCTTTCGTCGGCTGGGCATTTCGTAATAACTGCAGAGTGAAATAAAAAGTGAAGTTCATGTTTAATTGCTGCTGGCCAAGTTCGCCGCTTGCCAAAAAGAAATTTATGTAAATGCAAAAGCCAGTTGTTGTTGTTGTTGTTGTTTCAAGTTTTGCATATGCAGGCCCATAAATAACGTAAACAGTGAAATGAAAACAGATCACAGACCCCAATTGATGCACCTGCATGACAAAGCAGAGCCCAAACTGCTGCAACAGTTGCAGTTGCAGTTGCAGTTGCAGTTGTAGTTGCTGCTTCAGTCTCCGTCTCCGTCTCAGACTTTGGCTTTTGTTTGCTCAGCATCTATGTAAATTGCAACCTTCCTCATCTGCTGCTTCTGCTTCTTCCTCTTCGTCGTCGAGCAACTTATTTTCGGCAGCTAACAAAAGACTTAGGCAACAAACTTGCTGCTGCAATTTAAACAGCCAATCGACTTCAATCGGTGTGCATATAAAAAATGCATTTTATTTCGCGCTTACATTGCAAAACCAAGCAACTGAATTATGTTTTTTAATTAAAAATTATTGAAGACGATCGATGTCTTAGTCGGCAGCGGCAGCGGCAGAGGCAGCGGCAGCGACGCCTCAAGTGCAGATTTGACCCATTGACCAGCGGCGACAAGTTTGGCAACTCAAATAACAGCAGCAAATGCAATTTTATTGACGACAAACTTAATTACGTATACAAATAAGAAGGCACAAGAATGTGCCTGCATTTGTGTGCAATTCTGAGACTAGCAAATACCCTGTAATTACAATTTGAGAAGTATTTGTGAATAGAAATGGGTCAGCATTTGTATCTCTATCTCTATCTCTATCTCCATGTCTATCTCTATCTCTATCTCTATCTCTATCTCTATCTCTATCTCTATCTCTATCTCTATCT